TACACTTGATTCCAGGCGTCATGGGAAACCATTGAGAACCTGTAAGCAATGCATGACCGTCCATAGCTGCTTTACTCAGAGCCACAGCTGCAGAAACGCAGGGCACTCAATGTCCCTCCACAGGTGATGCATGGACACACGGGACATCGTGCAGAGAGACACCGCTCAGCCGTGGAAAGGTGAACTCAGGCCCGGGCGCTGGGGAGCCAGGCGCCAGGAGCACAGACAGGTGACTCCGCAGAGCAGAGCATCCCTGGCGACACCGCAGACGGGCGCTGGGCTGGGAGGGGAGGGCTGACGGCCAGGGCACAGGGCGCGTCCTGGGTGACAATGCTCCGTGTCTTGGTTATGGTGATAGACCCCTGGGCCCATCCACTTGTCAAAACCCACCGCCTCCTCCAGTGGGCACGCTCTCTCATGTGGGAACCACACGCAGGGCAGCGAATTCTCAAACCCCACGCGCAGCTGAGGACGAAATGATATGATCCTATTCTGACCAGAGTGAGAGCTCAGGGCAGGAGGAAAGGAAGGCACAGGTATTCAAGTTGCGGGGCCTTCGGTCATTAAACTCAAGTTCCCACTTGGACGGCGAGCCTTCCGGTTTCTAAATCAAGGGAATGAACGGCCCTGAGTCTCCCGGTCTCTGGAACAGGGCTGCCCGGGCGCCCTCTGAGGGGCAGATGCTCCCACTCTCGCCTAAGGTGGGGACGTCCTGCTCCAGGTGACCCCTGGGACCACGTGAGGCCTGTGAGACACCCCCCTTCATGCTGTCCCACGGACGGAGGGAGAGCAGCTCAATTCTAACCCAGGCCCCGCGGGGCTGCCCCGTCTGCAGGAGCCCACGGGTCTTGGTGGTGGGTGTGGAGGGACCAGCAAGAGGCACCACCTGATGGGGCGACTCCCTGCACTGAACCAGGTTCCCGGCCATTCGGGCTGGAGCATCCCTCGCTCTGGGGGAGCCATGCTCTACACGGTCGGAATTTAGCACCATCCTGGCCTCTGCCCACTAGATGCCAGCAACACCGCATCCTCCAGCTGTGGCAGCAGTGTCTCCAGACCCTGTCAAGTGCTCCCACCGCCAGAACCACGCCCAGCGGGGAGCCACCCCCTCGCCTTCCCGTGGTTCCCACTGTCCACGGGGCTCGGTCTCTACTGGGAAGATCTATGAGACCTGCCCTTGCCCCAGCCTCACCCACCACCACCCTCTTCACATCACACAGTCCAACGACAACCACCCATCAACCCCATTCTCTAAACATTCCCCCCCTACGCGCCGTGGCCCATGCGGTGCCGCCTAGAACACACTCTCCTGCCTCCACTGCTTGCTTGTGTTCAGCGCTGACGTAATGCTCACGTTCAGCTCGAGAGCCGCTCCCTTTCGATGGCTGCTTTTTATGGCACATCCCTTTGCAGCGTCTGACTCTAACCGCGAGCAGAGACAGTAAAACCAGACAGCTGGGCCTGGTGAGCTCCCTGGCTTCGTCCTGCCCCCGCTCCCGGAGACATTGCACCCGTTTATGCGGGTGCGGGCACCACGGGAGTTTGTTAAGGGCCAGCTCTCGCCACCGTGAATCAGGGTCAACATATCTGGGATCAGGAGGCTGTTTCTCACTGCGGCTCACACAGCTAATGGGTTCTGACGTGAACTTCCTGCGCCATCGTGGGAACAAGTGCCCAGGGCGAGAGGGGGAAAGGGGACAGGGCAGGGG